GGAGGCTGGTTGGCTTCCCGGTGGGTCAGTAGTTACAGCGGGATACTTACTGGCCGATTCCAGTTTGAAGTTTTCGTGTCGCTCCGTGATGAGTGTAAGTTCTGCCTGTAGGTCCTCCAGCTTGGGACTCTTGCAGGCCTTTTCACTGGCTTTAGGTTTCTTATGGGACCGGTCATCGATATCAGCTGTGTCGGAGTCTGTTATGTCATCTGTTATTGCTCTGAAGGGGCCAGAAAGCAAGCAGGGGCTCAGACTCAGTCTGAACTCGCTCATAAATATGCGAATCACAGTACTTACAATAAGCAAGTAAGTAACAAAAATTGGTCACAAAAATGTCCAACTCCGAAGAGAGGAGTTTCCATCTAATACAGTGTGAAACAATGATGAGTGCACAGAAGGTTAAAAGAGGGAGACTAACCTCCAAGGTCCCGTTTTCTATGAAGTTTCTAAAACAAAATAAGAACCAACAGGTTCGCTAGGGTAATATTTCAGGCAAAAAATGCAGAAGGTAGAAAGAAGTAATATAGCAGATTTTTTGCCTCATGAAATGTTAACAGAAATCCTGAAATGTGTTTTCAATTAGAACGGACTACGTAAATCGAGTTGCAATAGTATAGGATGATAGTAAAAAATTTCAGTCACTTCAGGCTATTCACTTTTGGTATCTTTTTGCTGTAGTTACCTGCATCTGCTGATGGCTGTCTTTCGGTTTTTTCAAAATGGTTCCAATCATGAGCTTTTTTAAGACCGTGAAATATCTATTCATAAAGCATAAAATTATCTAATTTATGACTGTGGCTTGTAAGGAATACTATGTGGTTCACATTAGCTGCAAATTTTACGAGCTTAATATTAAGTCTTTTTAAGAGCGTATATAGGTGCAAGATTTTGATTAGACAGAAAGTATGCATCTTGTGCTGTGAAGACCCCGAATGCAGGTGTAACGACGGGTCGGGTTTACAATTATTCAGGGATTTATAAAGTTTCTTAAAATCAGAAGCTCCGCTTGCTCCAAAGACATAATTTTCTACCAAACGAGTACAGGAGCAAATAATTTAGCAGTCAATATTGTGGTGTTTGAAACCGACAGGAAGGAAGCGCTTTCAAAAACCGACATCGTGACATAAGTGAACTACCCAAAGATTATGTTGTATGATAATTAGCATTACATTGGCACTGAAGTAATATCTTCTAATTGGAAATACATTTTAGAATTTCTGTTAACAGTTCGCAACATAGCACGTGTACTGTAAGTACAGGAACTTTCTACTCTTTTCGCAGGAAACACAATCGTTATAGAGTTCAGTGAATCGGATTTTTGTGCATGGAAGGATGGGTAACCGAAAACAGGGACTTTATGGCTGTCAGCCACTTTCTCAAACAGGATGTTCTTGTCTCAGGTAAACTTCAATCAGGGTACCACTTCATTTTTTCACAATAACTGATTACCAAATGCAGACCATCTCAGTATCCCTCGGCTGCCCGCACGTTATCATCACCAATTAAACTTAAACTCCCAAGTCCAGTACGATTAAAACTTCCCGTTTTCCCCGAAACACAGATGGGGACCAAATCAAAATATCCCCACTGCAATCAATCTCTTAGTAGAGGAGAATGCACGCCAGAGCAAGATTTTAACTTTGTTTCATGCGGTCAAAACGTTTTGCGATTCTCGAGTAAATATGGTTCCTGCTCCCACATGTCTCGTCGTTAGACTTCAGGTAAAAAGCCAAAAATGAGCTTTGAGTTTTTTCCTGTACATTCGGGAAAAGTCTATATAAAACAGGTGAAAAGATAAGCTGAGCTTCACCAATAGCTTACCAAAACCGATGCACGCGCACGAAATTCATCCGAAGAACGAACCGAAAAAGAAAGGAAGAAAATCAGAAAATAGAATGCAACGACCGTTGGCCATTTGAAAAAGGCGCCAGGGTAGAGGAAAATGCTTGAGCGGAACAACGAAGTTGCCTAAAACCTGAAGGATATTAAGTAACAGTTAAGTTGGTCGCCCACCTTAGATAACCCTAGCTCCTAGTCTTGTGGTTACTTCTAGTTTTATTAGTTTAATTTTGAGCTTAGTTTAGATTTTCGTCTAGTTAGATACCACTTACGTTAGATAAATATACCTAAATAATTACTATATATTAGGGCAAACTTAATTAAACTAAGATAAACTAAACGAACCAACAACTAAAATTAAACTAATAAACTAAACTAATGCCACCAGCCCCGTAAGAAAGAATTCTGGGGCGCAAGTAAGTTAAGGTGGACGACCAACGTAATTGTTACCGAATACGATACTATGAATACTAGGCACACAATCGGAAACAGAGTCAACAACGATTCCCTCAGAAGGAGTAAAAAACGGAAATTGTGAATATACTCGGTCTGGGCGTGAGTTAACTTCGGCCTTGCTGAGTTCTTTTGAGGTTCTAAAGAAGTCCTAATGGAGGTACAAAAGTAACCAAAGACGCGCAGGGAGGACGAAGAGCACAATTGAGGATACTCGGCGCCTTTTATGAACTTACCAACATAATTAGAACCGAGCCCATATATAAGAAA